GTGTTTCCAACTGAGGAACAGCCTGGTGGGCACGGTGATCGGTGAGAGCGCACGGAGGATGGGTGGGGCCGGGGGCGGGGCCTGGTCCGGACATCTCCGCCCCACGGCCCTCGCCTCCAATCAGCTCCCACTTAACGAGCAGGCGGTCGCCCCCTCGTGTTGCCGAGACCTGGTGCTAAAAGGAGGTCACTCGATGCACCTTTTAGTAGTTTTCAAATGTGTTGTTTTGGGAACTCAGTTAGTTAGAGGATTTACAGTCCGAGGGCTGTGTAAAATATGGCAGGTATGGCACGTGCCCTGGGTGCCACCTGAAAGGGGGGGAGGCGCAAAGCAGTTTCTGTGAATCACCTCAGAGTTCATGGTCAGCTGGGAGAGCTCATTCAGCAAATTACAACTACTACTGGGCGTATTTGTGAGCCTCTGTGGTCAAGGCAGTCTGTGTGACCTTGCTCTGTTAAGTGCAGAAAGAAGAAATTGTTAAAAAATGACTCCTCGTTTTAGACCAATTTTCATCGCCGATAGCAAGGGAGGTGCACTTGGCATTTTCTTGTAGTGCCGTGTGTGTTAAGTAAAAGATGAGCAAGCTTGACTTGTATTTTTCAGTGGATGTTATAGTAAAGTTCTCTAAAAGATCAGATGTCTATACATCTGTGTTTATAATGCCTTCCTTCAGACTGTTGAAACAGATCCACATTTTGACAGTTTACCCTAAAATGAGCCACAGGACTGTGCTAAAGTTAATCTCTGCTTGAGCACTATTTAGCAACATAAAGAAGGTATAGAATATTATTATAGGACTGTGTAAGCATTAGCCATATCTTGTATTTTATTTCTTTATCTTTATATTTGGTACCTTACCTTCTGGAAATTGGGATGCTTTTCCTTAGTACAACTTATATCTCACAGGGTTTGTTTGTTTTGTTTTAGGAAAAGTAGTTAAAATGAAGACTTGATCCTTTAGTTGAGATTAAAACTGAAATGATAATAATACTTTCCCTTTGGTCCACAAACTTTACCTTAAATTTTTTTTTAAAAGCTATTGTTTGGGAAATGAACAGATGTTGTAGGCTAATTGCTAGGCCCGCCAGAAATTAATTGGCCCCTCTGGAGGCTCCAGCTCAAGGATGTGAATAATGCCAACAAGTCTGCAGTGAACACCTTCAGCCCTTAGGCCAGGTCTGCAGACACTTGGGAGAGCACTTGTGAAGGGCTACTGATCACCCCCTTGACTTAAAGCTGGATCCCATTAATGTTTGCATGGGCTGATATAAAACAGCCTTCTCTTTCTGTAATGTCACCAAGATTGGGATTAGAAAGCTCCTGCTTTCAGTTTCCAAATGGAATGTGCTTATTGGACCCTGAGAGCCTTTGGGCAATTTAGGGGAAAATAAGAAAAGCTTTTTAAAGAGAGTCGATAAATCCCCTTTGTTGGTTTCAATTTATGGCCACATATTCCTTTGTTTTTAAAAACAGGTCGTGGTGGGTCAAAAATAAGAGACATCCAAAATTCAACAAACACTAAAATACAGGTAAGTGATGTATGTGCCACATAATCCTTCTTAAACCCTAAAAGAGCCTGGTTTATTTCTCACCACGAATTAGACTCAGTCAGCAGCTAAGAGCTACTTCTCTGCTAGCATACTGTGGTAAATTAGGTAAATGGCCAAGCCTGCTGCAGACTGCCATTCTTACCAAGAAATCATCTAAGCTGTGGCCCATTCAGGTCTAGGTTCTGTGAGTCTTAGAGGGAAAAAATTTTTCAAGATAATCTCCATGTACAAAGGACACCTGTGAGGGTAACGAATGTACAAATGTGCTTTATACAATTGATGTAAGTATGGATTGTGATAAGAGTTGTATGAGCCCCCAATAAAATGATTTTTTTTAAAAGGACACCTGTCTGGATTTCTTTCAAACATTGACTTATTCCTGTCCTCGCAATCTTAGTGATCGTCCATATCATTCACCAAACTACAAAGCCAAACATCTTATCCTACAACTATGATCTCCATCTCGCTAAACTCATTGTGACTCAGAGTGCCACTCTCACTAGATCTTTTTATTTCTTGTACTTCTCCAGAGGACTGTTGTAATTTAAGGTAGCCTCGCCTGACTCTCTCACTTCTAGTCTTTGAATCCTCGCTGTTCTCCACAGTGACCAAAGCACCTTCTCTGAACAGACAGATCATGTGTCTGTTCCTCTTCTGCATAAAAACCTATTGATATAATGTGCTTGACACAATAGACGGATGTATGGATTGTGATAAAGAGTTGTATGAAGCCCCAATAAAATTATTTTAAAAAAAACAAAAACAACTTCTTGATATATCAGACTCTTCAGAAGTCAAGATTCCTTAAAGCAATTCCCTATTCTAGCAAATTTGCCAACCTCTCCCCCTTCCTCTTCTTACAGCCCCTGGCCCCATTTCTTCTGGAAGACAATTTACTGCTTCCTCACCCTCTTTCAGGTCAGCTTCCGTCATACTTCCTTAGGAAAATCTAGAACCTCCTCCTCCCCTTCTCAGTTAGGTGTCCCATCCTCTCAGCACCTCATGGTTTTACCATTTCAGCACTTGCACATTGTTGTCTCTGTGAACACTCCCGCCCAATGATAAGCTTTGTTTGAATAACCCGCCCAATATAACTCCTGATTTCTAGTTTCTAGCTAAACATTATTGAATGAGTGAGAATATCGGAGATTATGCACATTTTAAAATGTTACATTTAGTTTCCATTTTCAAAGGGTGATTATGTCAGCCTTGTTGTAGGCTTAACTTCAACTTGTATGAGTATATTAAAACCTCAAATGAAAACTTTTATTTGTAGAGCCTGGCAGTTCAATAAACTCTGGCTTACAGAGCACATAGGTTAATTAATTTCATCCCTACTGTAATTCTGCATAATTAGCCAAACATTCATTATTACCATTGTATAGATGGGTCAAGTCGGATTCAAAGTTATTGATACCACATTTCAGATTTTTTTAAATCATTTTATTAGGGGCTCATACAACTCTCATCACAATCCATACATACATCAATTGTGTAAAGCGCATTTGTACATTCATTGCCCTCATCATTCTCACCACAGTTCAGATTAAGACCTTAGTTGTCTATCATTATTTCTTTACCTCCTAGCTTGTACAGTCATTGCAAATTTTACAGATTGCCCTGCTCCTCCATCCAACCAGAGGCTACATCCTAGAGCAAATATAAATAGCATGTACCTCAAAGATTAGAAATTCAGTCATTGACATCACAATGCATTGTTACTTGATACTTTTATACCGTTTGAAGTGTAGTGATTGCTAGCAGAGAAAGGTAGGGGGGAAATAAGGGAAAAAAAGGCAAAGGGCTTTGGTCTCACTCATTTCCTTTTTCATATCTAGATAATGAAAGGGTATCAGGAGGCCGAAGTCAAAATTTTTGGAAGCAAGGTAAGGCAGACAAAAGCAAAAGCAGTGATAGATACTCTTGTTAAAAGACAAGAAGAAAACTACAGTTCAGATTCCAGAGATGGTAAGTAATTGTCACCTACTGAAACCCTTTTAGAATGTTAAGTTTTCTTTAAATGCTAGGAGCCTCTAATAGTTGAGTCCTTTCTAGATACAAAGCCTTAGCTTTTCATCAATGAATCTGGACTGTTACATATTTGTATTAATATAAATCCTTTTTCTGTGAAAGCCCAGAATACTCCAAAAATGACTTGAAATCTCTGTGATTAAGCATAGTAGCTTTACTTTTAGCTACAAAGAGCTGGGGGGAAAAACTAACTTTTGTGTATACCTCATATTCATGTATTAATCTGGTAAGCATAGTTCTGCCTTTGTGAATGACTATTACTGAAAGTTTTGCCCTATCACCCACCCCCTTTGGGTAAATAGTGTCCACTCCCTTATGAGTTTAATTTGTATAAATTAATAATTTGTGTATTGCGGTCTGAAGCCAGCCAATACTTGTATAATTTCCTTTTCCAACATTGTTTTAAATTCTATTCCATTGGCTAAATTAATGACATTATCAGCAGAATTACTTTACACTCTAAGAGGATGATTGATAATGTTCTATAACATAAAATGATAATAAGGTCTCTAAAGTGAACCCGAAGTGTCAACTAAGCCCATGGAAAATGGGCATACAGTACATGGCATACATGGAGAATGTATGTCAGCTTGCCCTATCCAAGTCCAAAGTAAATAATCAAATCCAAAGGAGGGAATGGAATCAGAGCATAAATTGTGAAAACCCAGTTTTCAGAAGGCTAGGTATGACCATGGAAGCCCAAAATCATTGGCAGGGTCCCCACAAGGATTATGCCTCTATTGAATCCCACTGACCATAGACCAGGTCATCAGAAGTGAATAGCCTTGCTATCATGCAGCATGCATTGGAAAGCGGATTGTTGCGAATGCAGTTAGGTTGAAAACACCTTTTAACCCATTTAAAATTTATTTTAGTTTTTAATGTTTTTTGCTTTCTTTTCTATTGAAGTTTTTCTCTGTTTTACCTTGTTGTTGTTGCTTTGTGTGTTTTTTGCATTTTTTTCGGTCTATGAAACCAGGATAGGTAAATCTATAGAGACAGTAGCTGGATTAAGGTTCCTTTCAGGTGTGGCAGGGGAGGTTGGGGGGAAACGGGGAGCTAATAACAATGAGAATACAAGAAAGAAAAAATGTTCTAAAATTGACTATGGTGACAATTGTACAACTCTTATTAATATGGTTGAACTATTGAACTGTATGATATGTGAATTATATTCCAATACAATGGTTAAATAAATATACCTCAGTATTAATTGTAGGTCAAGAATTAATCCTGACATCTGATTTTTGGTCTCTTCACTACATGGACTTTGAAAAATACATACCATATATACTCGAGTATAAACTGACCCGAATATTAGCCAAGACACCTAATTTTACCACAAAAACTGCATAAAAATATGCTGAAAAACTTGACTTATACACGAGTATATACAGTAGTTACTTGTTATTTTAAAATTTTCCAATCTAGTTGGAGTTAAAAATCCAGGGGGAAAAGCCATCACTGAACGACATCCAGAAGCATCCTGGAAGTAAAAGAACAGAAACTTGGGTTCAGTTTTCGAAGTTGCCACTCAGTGTTTCCCGGGATGGAACTTAAACCTTTCCTAGGTTCCATTTCCTCATCTGTTAACCCAGGATGACAGCTGCCTCCTAGGACTATGATAAAGATCAAGCAGTGCAGGAGATGTGTTTCAGCACACACTGAGCTCTCATTCTATTTTCCCACTCATCTATAAATTTAAAAACCACAACAACTTCCTGTTGCATGAATGTGATGTAGATAAATGATAAAACCACATGGGAATCAGCCCGGCATGATAGTACAAACAAACTCCTATGTTATATTTCAGGCAGTATTGTCAGAAAATAGTAACATAATTTGGGGGATTATGTACTGGCCAGATTTGTGTATGAGATTATGTAATTCAGTAAATATCTTACCACATCTCGTTGCATTTTAACCTTTAGCTGGAAGAAGTGTAAGCACAGATGACCATGTTGACACAGAAGATGAGATAGACTGGGACCAAATTCGAGAAGATGCTTTGAAATGGAAAAAGCAGAAGTGGGCAGGTTAGTGTTGTATCATAACATCTCCATGTGTGGTTGGTGGTTTCATTGAACTGAAGTACTGATATCCTATAAAATGGCTGTGCCTTTTAGTTTTAGTGATAAAGCCTTTATGGAAAATGAAGACAGTGAAATTAACATGCTTCATAATAAGTCCCTTGGTCATGATAGTTTCTATATCTGGTTATTTAAGCTATAAATGAAAATTTTAAATGTTAATCTCATTTATTCCTTCTTATATTTGAGGTCACTCTCTTTGAAAGGGTAAGAACATTAAGCCCAAGGAAAATGGAAGGAAAATAAGTACACTCACCAGAAGTTAATTTTTTGTTGTGATTGACCAAAAATTGGTCTTTGAGTGCTCTGGTTGACAGGGCTCAAACAAAAATTGGAAATAATAAATGATGAGAAATAAATTAGCATAAAAGTTCCTCGAAGAGAGAATGTTTGTTTGTGTTTTAATTTTAAATGACATGTCTCACTTGGAATATTACATGTAGGGTATAAGGTTTACAGTAAATTTTGACACTAGCTGGGAATTGCACCCGATCTGATCCCGCCACACTGAGGCAAAGCACTGGGGGAGTGCAGCAAGATCCCCTGGGAATGATGAGGGTGGACTTTGGGGACAGGGC